CTACCTACCTACCTACCTACCTACCTACCTACCTACCTACCGACCTACGTACCTACCTACCTACTTGCCTCTATCTAAGCGAGTGCTTTCATATACAGTCTTTGACATGTAAAAGTTCAGATGAGTTAGGATTCAAACAGGCCTCCATAACGTTCATTACCACAGCTGCTGATGTTCATGTCCTGTAGTTGTATGTTTCTGCCCTGGCTGATGCAGTATAACCGCTGGCTGCTAAGCCCCGCCTTCCCACTCTGTTGCCAAAGCTGCAGCCAACGGATGTCGCAGCCACAGGCAAAAGTCACGTCCTCCAAACGGCTGGAAGGGAGGAAGAGCACAAGGGACAGAATCAGTGGCAGCATGAGACCAAACTGTGACCAGTGTGGACTTAAGAAGCACAACTTCCAATGAAAGGGTTAAAAAATTACAATAAAGAATTACAAGAATCAATAGATGTTTCCTATCCACATTTCAAAAATGACATCTCTGTGTATTTTTATGTAATCACTATGCATTTGTGAACCATGTATCAACATTTAAACAAAACCTGATACAGACTAAACAAAAAAACATTCATTTCAGGCTTTCATTAGTGTAGCCTTTTATAAAATAAAAAAACAACACTTTAAATTGTCAAGTCTTCTGTAGCTAAAAAGATCATGGTGTTGGAAGGACTAAAGACAGAGCCAATGAGAGGCCGACTTACAGTTCTGTGAGCTGAAGAGATTCAAAGATCTGCCAGGAAAGTGTTTTCAACCCAGGGTTTTTGGACAAGTTTCTGAAGGACAGAAAAACAGTTAAATAATAAGAACTGGACATTTCAAGATCTTTATGGAAATGTTCACTATGCTGAGCCTTCGGATTTCAAATGGTTGGATTTACTTCCTGTGACTAAATTAACTCATTCGCTGCCAAAGACGTCTATAGACGTCTTTTATGTTTTTCAACGCGAGTGACTTGGGGAACGATCTGCTGAAGATTGTCCATAAATATCGGCTTCTAGACAGAGTATGTAGTAACAAATTGACCCTCTAGGGGGCAGTGCCACTTTTGATGGGAGATGAGCATAGACTGTAGGCAAATAAGAAAAATGTAACGGTTCGATATGAGAGAACATGTCGCCGGTGAGACGCAAGTAGAGGAAAAACGGAATAAGGTAGAAACAATTTTTTTTGCTGATGAAAGAAGAGAGTCTACTCTTTCTTTTGGTGTGTTCTGTGTTTACATAGTCATAGCACAAACTATTCTGTGGCTCTTGAAAAATCAGTCAAAATGCTCAAAAAACTCTGGCAGCAAGGGACTCTCTGTTCTGAAAATGGCTGCCAGTCAATGAGTTAATAATGCAAACAGTTGTATTTTATAAATCCGTTAATCATTTTTCGCTTTTATCTTGGTTCAGATCATGGATACGTGTCCAGGACTGAAACCCAAACATCCCACTCCCCAGAGTCCTCAAACCAGAGGGGACGTCTGGTCCCCCCAAACCCTCCAGAAAGGTAGAACCTCAGATGGCTGGAAAAATAGCGCCCCCTGGAGGCTGAAACTGCTCACTACACCTTTAAGGCTTGGTGGGAGTTGGTCGTAGAAGGAAGATGCTGATAATCTTAATGGTTTAATGGATTCTCTCAGTGACAATAAAAGGTACAGAATGTCTCCAGGATCCTGAGGGTTTCAGTTCTCAGAGGTTTTAGCCTCTGGAAGGGTGTCCCACGGCAAAAAGAAAAGCAGAAAAACCGTGTGAGGAGGAGCGTTACCGACTAGATTTAGATGGGCTCTGAACTCCAAAAGCCAAACTCCTGAACTCTCTTTAGGAGAGAACCCCTTTGGCCTTGAGAAGTACGAAGACATGGAGGAAATACCTCCATGATCTGAACCCGGGAAGTTCTCGACTGCCTCTACCCGGCCACCTTAGGCTCTGGTGTCAATTACACCGAATGCATTATTATTTTAAGTAAACGTGGAGAGAAAGTGAGTACTCACATGTACTGCAGTTCGGGGTTTTTGGAAAAAACTCGAGTCTGGATGGTCTGAAGTTTGCTCCTTGTGATGGTCCTACAACAGACAAAGGTACACAGAGATATACTCATTCCCACACAGTGAAATGGGAACATTTTTTAACGTTTTTGATACCTACAACACACCTTGGAGCAGATGGTACCTTAAAGAGGGAACGTATATATTCAATTTCAAAGCGAAATACAAAGCAATGAGAGGGAGTAGAAAAAATAAACATCACGCTAAGGTCAGACTTTGTGACGCATGAAGGGATTTTCTCAAAAAAGGGGAAAAGACTGTTTAGGTCTGCTAAAAATTAGCAACATTAAGTATTATTTACTTTAAATAACCAGAGAGCACATACAAGTGTTTAAAAAACATATAAATATTTTTTTTTTGTTGCAAAATGAGAGTATATTTCTGCCTGTTAGCGTGAGTAGCTATGCTCCTCTGAACATAGATATATTTACTGCCTATATCTGCCCAAACTGTTAAGGAAAATACAGCATTAATAGTGACATCTTAATACCGCTTATATTTCTTCAGACTGTGTTACAAATGGACGGAGATATAGAATGTGTACATATCCAGGTCCAGTTATTCAGAATCAGAATCAGAAATACTGTAATAATCCCAGAGGGAAATGATTTCAATTTCAATTTAAATACTTCTTTATTGGTTTGGTTTGTATCTTTTCTCTCCAGAAAAAACACACTGTGCATTTATAGCATGATATGCAACAGAACTGCATGTACTCATAAATATAATCAATATGAATCACTGCATAAACAATTAGCAAAAGCTGCTTTTACAACAGCTGCTAATCTCTGGGTATATCTGGTGTGTAAAGGGAACCAGCTTTTAACAGACCTCCGCCTTTCCAGGGTGGATGGAGCTATCTCAGAGCAGTTTCCAGTGAAACGGTGGGAGTTTTTATTTATTTATTTAGTGGACACATCACAGAAAGTCCTGTAGGTGTCAGTCAAAAGCTACGAAAGATGGCTTTGTTTATCAAATCACTGCATGAAGAACCTCCAGAAAAGGAATTTATTCGAAGCTAAGATTCACTTGTCAAATTACAACTATGATCTACACCAAAAAATATTTAAAAATAAACTTTTGTGGGGCAAAACCTTACTTTTATTACCTAACAAGGCAAAACCTTGTCAGTGAATAAAAGCCAGGTTTTGTTAGCTAGCTACAAAGCGCATATTAAAAAACAGATCTACAAAAAAAACAATTATAAAAACATGACATGAAGAGGGAAAATTATAGATTAAGTGCACTGACATGTATGTGTGAAGTTTGACTTCACAAGTTTGAATTAATGTGCAAATATTTCACAATAAAGAGGCGTTCATGGCCACCAGGAGGGTTTTAACCAATTTATATTCTATATTTTGTGAATTATAGTTTAACCCTTTAAAGCCCAATCCAAGAAAAAATTGGGAGAATTTTTTTTGTTATTGTCTGAAGTCTTTATTTGATCCTTCACAAAATATATGCGAAAAAACAGAAATGATTTTTGAATATTCATCATTTATTTCCTTCTGCTAAGTCAAAATTATTGTGCAAAGTCTTCAACCCACTGTTATTGGGTAAACCTGATTGTGTACAATAAGGTTTGGAACAAAGATTTACCACGAAAATGATGCAAAAGGCCTCAGATGCTACATTTTTCAGAAATCGTACGTATCAAATATGACACATGTGGCATTATTGGGTAAAAGGTTTAAACGTAAATTAAGAACAGAGCTCTGTAGGCAAGAAGAAGATGAGTCCAAGTACACTCATAATTCAAATACCGGTAAAGAAAGCTAGAAAATATTAACAACGCAAACCTACCTGATTGGAAACATCATCTTCCTCCTCATACTTGAGACAGTTGTGTTTGGTCTGGTGTATGTTTTGTATTTAGCTAAACTGACTCTGGGTTTGGAAAATGGATGGATGAACTCCTCTAAACTTGTATAAAAGTGATAGGAGAAACCAGTTACAGGTTTATTTGTGAGTCTGTTAATTCCAGGCCATATATTAGTCAGATTAGTCAGACATTGGGTAAAGCCAAATGTATCATATTTGATACGTACAGTTTCTGAAATGTTTTGCGTATGACATATTTAGCATAATTTAATGGTAAAAACTTTGCTCAAAACCCTATTATATACAATCAGATCCACCTGATAACAGGGGGCAGAAGACTACACAAAAAATAATCTGGACTTATCGCATAGTAATAAATTATTAATATTAAAAATGTATTTCTGTTTTTTCTTTTTACATATTTTGTTAAAAGGGTAAATAAGGAATTCAAACAAAAAAAAAGTAAGGGTTAACAAACCCAATTTGCACAAAGAAAAACACACAAACGGATTATTACTCACAGCCTCTGTAAACCGGGGTACAACTCCATGTCCAGGTCCCTCAACATCTCCAGATTAGTCCAGTTCTCAATGTGTCTGGAAACAAGGATTTAGGATATCAGGAAATAAGTCACTCAATAACTCTGTAAAAAGACGATCATCTTTCATTTTGACAGTTTTCGTTATTTAAATCAGACGTTGCAACAAATCACAATTGCATTTGCAGATGTCATCAAACCACAAAAGAACAATTGTGTTGACCCTTTACTACACACATATTGGTATTTCTGGACTTTTCAATATACTACACATGTTTTTAAGAGAGAAATTGAACGGGATTTCACAGTATGTTCAGTTGTCTAATTGGATTCAGTTTAGTTTAGTTAGTTTTTATGTTATAATGTCATTATATAGAGGGCTGCTATTGGGATGGTGATCAGCAGTTTAGGTACAAAGGAAGAAGATCCCCTGTTTAAATCTGTGTGGATTACAGTAAATAACATTTAAAAAATAATAATAATAGAAAAAAATAAATAAATAATAATAATAAATAAATAAATAAATAAATAATAATAAATAAAAAAATAAAAAAAATAAATAAAATAATAAAATAAATAAATAAATAAATAAATAAAATGAAAAAGAAAATATCCTCCAGCAAAGTCTGGTGAGCGTCCCATCCTAAAGGGCCTTTTAATCTCTACTTTAATACATTCACATTTATCAGGTGTGACATCATGACTTATTGTTCCACCTTTTTTGTATTTTTTCACCCTGTTTCCAGCTGTTTCTTTTATTTTTAGAGAGGAACCAGGTATGCACGTCCCCCTTTCAAAGGTTTCACCCACTCCTCCGTCCCCTTATCTCATATTCACTTATTCCCCTTGTTTTCTTCTTTGAATATCAAGGATTTCCAGTTTTCTCTGGTTAAAAAAAATAATAGAAAATCAGCCTTTTGAGTGTTTTTCTGATGATAAAGGAAAAGTTCTGTTCTCCACAAACCATTTTACCAGCCTTCATCCATCCATCCATCATCCATCCATCCATCCATCCATCTATGTACCCATTATCATAATCTCTTATTCCCTAATGGGGTCGGGGGGGGGGCGGAGCCTATCCCAGTAGCCAATGGGGAGAGGCGGGGTCCCCCTGGACGGTCCCCAGTCCATCACAGGGACACACAGAGACACGCAAGGACAAACAACCACACACACTCACACTAAGGGCAGTTTGGAGTCCAACAACTTAACATGCAGGTTTTTGGACGGTGGGAGGAAGCCGGAGAACCCGGAGAGAACCCACAGACACAGGAGAACATGCAGAACCACCCAGAAAGGTCCTGGTTCCCCCGGGACTCCAACCCAGAACCCTCTGGTCCTGGTTCCCCCGGGACTCCAACCCAGAACCCTCTGGTCCTGGTTCCCCCGGGGACTCCAACCCAGAACCCTCTGACCACCACAACACCTCCCTTTCCCAGCTCCCATTATCTGACATAAAGATGTCATCCATTTATTTCGCACACTCACCAACACAACACAGACTCACACACGGTGTTCTCACTTCAGAATCTGCCTTTAGCTCAGTGTTTTTCAACCACTAGTGTGCCACGAGTGATGGTCAGGTGTGCCGTAGAAAATCATCCTATTTCACCTAATTGGTCTAAAAAGATTTTTTGATAAGGAATTAATTATCTGCAAATAATATGCCATTTTTGAGTGTCTGTGCTGTTCTAGTGACTGGTGGAGTAATCATGTAATAATTCCTTATGACTAGATTTTGTATGTAATTTTGTATATTGAAGTGGACATGTTAAGAGCAATTTGAAAGAAGAAATATAAAATATGATAAAAATACATTTTTGTGTTTATTTGATTCCTATTCAAGACACTTAAGGTAAGATAAGAATAAGATAAGAATAACTATAGTGTTACTATAGGCGGCTACAGATTTGTTTGACATTTCTGGTTGGTGGTGTGTCTCGTGATTTTTTCAATGAAAAAATGTACCTTGGGTCAAAAAAGGTTGAAAAACACTGCTTTAGCTAACATGTTAGCATGTTAATGTAGTGGTTTTTAAAGTCCCAAACAGTCACTGACATGGCCATCTGTCTCTATTTTTCCCGAGTTGTGACTAAACATGAGCCCATTGTGTGTATCGGTTACAACACTAACTCCATTTTCACACCAAAGAATCACAACACTTTCTCACTGGAAGACCCCGAGTTGATTTTAGTCGTTACAATTCGGCTGAATGCATTTATAATTAATTTGCTTTTAATATTTCATTATGAGCACATAAGTAGGAGTTAATGCATTTAGAATAGTCTGATTTAGATTAGATATAAAAGTTATACATGAGTATAAAACCCAGATTAATTATTCAGCAGAAAACTGAAACTTTTAAAGCTTTTAACTTCTGTTTTCTTTATACTCAGTTGTTTCTATCTGTAGTTTTAATGACTGTGTTATTAAGGAGTGTCCTATTTCTGCTTCCATCTTACCTATAACTTAGGATTTATTCCTATTACCTCACCAGAAGTCAGGAATTCTGCTCCCTTTAACGGATGGATGAGAAATTAGACATTTTCCTTTAATGAATTTAAACTTGATCCTTATTGTGAATGACCTATAATTGAAACTTAATTGTTTCTTTTTATTTTGTATGTGTTTTGTGTTATGAAAATGTGGAGAAAAGTGGCTGGAACTCTTGCTTTTATTTGGATGTTGTGTACATAAATTGTTCATTTTTTTATGCTTCCACACAGAAAACAATGAATTTACCATCTTTACACTACTTTTTTTTCTTTATTAGTGATACTGGATCAGAGACTTTGGTGGATGAACGGACATTTCTATGTTTTCTGGTCCGACGCTCAACATTAATTCATGTTAACTCGTTTGTTTTCTGTGGGACTCCTCACTTCTCTTTGATTATCAAATAGCTATGAATTTCTTTTTACAGTCACACATATACGATGTTCACATCATAAACCTAACACACATCTTGAATCAGGAATTGAACAGTCAAATATACTGAACGGAGGCAGAATCAAACAGTGAATTCACAGGTTGTTGGAAGATTTTTTAACCCTGTAATGCCAAATGTATCATATTTGATTCATACGGTTTCTGAAATGTGTTGCGTCTGACTCCTTTTGCATCATTTAATGGTAAAAACTTTGCTCAAAATCCTAATTTACACTATTAGATATACCTGATAACAGGGGGCAGAAGACTACACAAAAAATAATCTTGACTTATCGCATAGTGACAAATTATTAATATCAAAAATGTATTTCTCTTTTTTCTTTTTACATATTTTGTTAAAAGGCCAAATAAAGACTTAAAACAAAAAAAAAAGTAATTTTCTATTTTGTTTTATTTTTGGATCAGGATTTAAAGGGTTAAAAAGTTACTGGAAAAAAGTTGATTAGAAGTTCTGAACATATTTGGGGTGTTTTCTCTTACTTTCTGTTTCTCCCAATGCTTTTTTTCCACTCTGCTGTAAAAAAATGTTTACATCATGATCTGTTTGATCTGTAGTGATGTCATTTAGCTCAGCCAATAGCTGCTTTCCTATTTACTGTCAGAAACAACCAGACCATAAGAGCAAAACAGAGCAGTCAAGAGGCAAAAGAGGCTGAAACAGGAAATGTATGCTCTGTTTACAAATTCTGACAGTTCTTAAAATGATTTTGTACAATCTGATCTTTGTCTGATCGGCCTGTAGGGGGCGCTGTTCCAGCAACAGGTCGACAGTAATGAAATAAAAAGCACCTTTTCTACACTAATTCCACTTTTTGTGATAGAAAACCAGCTGTGTTCATTCTATTAAATATATATATATATATAAAAACACTTGAGTTGAGTCTTTTACTGCTTTTCACCTTAAAAAATGGCAAAATGAGAATGTGAAGTGTTCATTTTTAACCCTGATCATCTTCTGAGCTGGTTCCTGAGAAGCAGGAACCAACACAACACTGTTTCTACAGAAAAAATGCACAAAAAAAATAAAGAGTGCAGAATAAACATGATCTCAAACATACGGTTTGTGCATTGGTATTTTTGTGCATTACAGATATGAATAAAACTAGTTTATTCCACATTATTTCTTACCATCTAAACAAATACTGTCCAGTTGTCTATAATGGTTGAAAAAAAAAAAGCCAGTGAGTCCATCTTCAAAGATCACCACATAAAAAATGAATTATGGAACAAAAAAATCCTGTTTTAATATATTTAAATGTTGGAATAACCAAAAAGAATTAGAGAAAGAAGAGAGAGAGAGCAAAAACACTTTAGAATTGTTCTTTAATTGTTAGTTTTCTTTTGATTGCTGATTCATAGATATAAGAAGATTTCTGGTCGTCCATTAAAATGAGTTTATAGAGGTCCAAACCCCAAAAAATGCTTCTGGTTTAAGGCTTTGTGATCCATCTGTAATCAATCTTTTCAGATCAAATGGACGTTGTCAGACAACATTAGTGCTCCGGAAGCATCGACTTCTCTTCATTGTTATAATTAATAGCATTTTAATATTGACACTAGCCCATTATTGGTGCGGGGCTATTGATGTTCTGTCATAATGCGTTTCACTAAAAACTCCACGCACAGATGAAAAGCAGGATCCATATTTAGCCTCATTAGGAACGTTTGGCTGAAAAAAATGACAGATAAATTCACCCTGAAGGGGAGTTTGTTGTTTTGATGACGACAAATGAGAAGTCAAACTTTGGTTTTTTAAATTTTCTTCTCACTTTTCTGACAATGAGCAAAACAAAGGCTCTTTTTCAGACCATACAGGAAGTAAGTAAATAACTAAAACAAAACAGGGCAAAAGAAGGACTAACCTAAATTATTTCCCAAAAAACAAAGAGTGGGATTAGAAAAAGTGATGGTACCGAATATATCAAGCAATATGACAAACTGGAATTTAGATACTGGTGGGGTTTACATTGCTTTTAGGTATTTGATCAGTCAAATTACAGCTTATAAATGATGAATTAAATTGAAGGAATGACAACTACAACTTCAGGTTGAGAGCAAAAAACAGGTTATGGTTTACAAAACCCTTTTAAAGCACATTAAAGTCCCCATTCCGGTCACTGAGGAACCATTTTCAGACCATTTTCAGACTTCTGGTGGATTTTGGTTCATCTTACTGAATATCTATCCTATTTTAATCATTTTTACTATTCATATAAAAACGTGTTCTCATTATCTCACCAAATGCTTTCATCAAATAGTGCCTATTCCTACATTTTTCTATTCCAGAGAACAATGAAGAAGAAAAAGGCCTATAAACATCAGGCCAATACTGATGTTCTGTATTTACGTATATTTGTATTCAAACCAAATCATAAGCATACAGGAGACAGGTAGCAACGGTTCTGGATTTTTGGTTCATCTTACTGAATATTTATCCTATTTTAATCCTTTTTACTATTCATATAAAGACGTGTCCTCATTATCTCACCAAATTCTTTCATCCAATACTGCCTATTCATGAGTTTTTCTATTCCAGAGAACAATTAAGACCAATACTTCCAATCAGAACTTTAACTAAGATTTAAATAGATGCCACAGGGGTTATGTCTCTAAAACCTCCATCAAAATGTGTTTTCATGGGCAGGCGAACGCACAAATACAGATTTATAGAAGTCAAAACGCGTTTTCGTGGGATTTATAGAAGTCAAAATGCGTTTTCATGGGCAGGCGAACGCACAAATACAGATTTAAAGAAGTCAAAATGCGTTTTCATGGGAATTATAGAAGTCAAAATGCATTTTCATGGGCAGACGAACGCAGAAATACAGAATTATAGAAGTCAAAATGCGTTTTCATGGGCAGGCGAACGCACAAATACAGAATTATAGAAGTCAAAACGCAGCTTTTGGCCTGGCACTTACATACTGGTGATGTTCTGGAAGTCAAAATGCGTTTTCATGGGCAGTTTATAGAAGTGAAAATGCGTTTTCATGCGCAGGCGAACGCACAAATACAGACTTACGCACAAATACAGATTTATAGAAGTCAAAATGCATTTTCATGCACAGGAGAACGCACAAATACAAGTGAAAATGCGTTTTCATGGGATTTATAGAAGTCGAAAAGCATTTTCAAGGCACCAATACAGATTTAGAAGTCAAAACGCGTTTTAACGCACAAATACGCATTTATAGAAGTCAAAACGCCGCTTTTGGCCTGGCACTCACATGCTGGTGATGTTCTGGAACAGGTCCTTGATCCCGGTGGCGTTTTCCGCGCTCTCGTTTCCCTGGAAGGAGAGCAGCGACAGGAAGCGGCTGCTGTCCGACCGGTTGCAGTGGACCTCGGTGGCGGAGCAGGAGCAGGTCAGCGGGCAGTCGATCACGGAGCTCAGGTTGTGTTGGAAGAAAATGGCGAGAAGAAGAGCCAAAACCCAAGAAAAGCGGCCATGGAGCGGCCCCAGGAACTCCATTCTGCCCGGGACCGCTATAAAACGGGTCCAGATCTGCTCAGAATCTGTTCAAAATATGCTCAAAATCTGCTCAAGATCTGCTCAAAATGTGCTCAAAATCTGCTCAAGATCTGTTAAAAATCTGTTCAAGATCTGCTCAAAATCTGCTCAAAATCTGCTCAAAATCTGCTCAAAATCTATTCAAAATCTGCTCAAAATCTGCTCAAAATCTGCTCAAAATCTGCTCAAGATCTGCTCAAGATCTGCTCAAGATCTGTTCAAGATCTGCTCAAGATCTGCTCAAAATCTGCTCAAGATCTGTTCAAAATCTGCTCAAGATCTGTTTCAAAATCTGCTCAAGATCTGTTTAAAAATCTGCTCAAGATCTGTTTAAAATCTGATCAAAATCTGATCAAAATCTGATCAAAATCTACTCAAAATATGCTCAAAATCTGTTCAAAATCTGCTCAAAATCTGCTCAAACGTGGCTCTTTTGCGGCGTCCACATCTCGTTTTCTCTCAATCGAGTCCAAATGTTAAGATTAGAAAACGTTCCCTGCGTCGGAGGGTCCCAATAGCGTTCCTCTGCTCCTTAAAAAAGAGAAGAAGAAGAAGAAAGGACCGGAGGAGAAACCCGTGGGAAAACTTCAGGATTTGGGGCGTAAAGGGTCTGAGCGCGCGCCGGTCCTGAGTTCCTCTCCTTCTCTCATCATCTTTTCATGTCATCCGTTCTCCATCCATCTGTCCCCCTCCCTCCATCCCTCCCTCCCTCCCTCCCCCCCTCCCTCCCTCTCTCCCTCCATCCCTCCCTCTCCTAATGGAGCAAGTTCCTTAACTCTGACGCAGATTCACTCTAAAAAGAAAACAGTTGATCCAACTTAATTGAATTGCTTCAATTGGTAATTAATTAATAAGTAATTCAATTAATTTGATCCAACCTAATTTATTAAGTTTGGTTAACTTGACAAATTTAAGTCAGTCTTAATCAATTCATTTACTTTATTTCCAAATAAAAAAATTTTTAAATCCATTTTACTTAATTTTATAGAAAGTCAACTCAAAATTTTAAGTTGTTCCAACTTAAAAAAACTAAACTACCCCAAATTAAATGAATAAAGTTGACTTATTTCCGGTAAAAGGCGCTCAGGAGCAAACGGTAAGGTGTTTTTTTACACCGAAATCCGTCATCTTTTGGGTCCAAATTCATTCTCTGATAACACCAATGACAAAAGAGTTAAATACTCAACACCAGAGTCAAATTATTACACTTTAAATATGTAAATCAGCCGTTATCATTTGTTTCTTTCCAACTATGTACCTCATGAATTCATCACTAAAATAGATCAGCTCTGGTTTTAAAGAGTTTATTTTTGACCCTTGTCAAAAAGGGGTTTAAAGCTATATGATCATTTAAAATCCAACAATGTTCTTTTTGTCATGCATGCACTCCCACAGATACGTTTTGAAATGAATTAGAAACATTAACTCTCACTTTAAAGATAATTTTACTTATAAAGGAGCAGCCAACAAGGAAAATCTGAGTAGATTTTTATTTAAAACAGGTTAACACAACGTGTTAAAACAGCATTATGTCGAAGAATATTCAACATTTTGAGGAATCACATGACTAAACATTTAGCTCTGAACTCCTCAGTCATCATCCATGGTGTTATCCATACTTAATTTGTTTTAAATGTTTTACTGAAACTGTAAATAAAAAGATTGTAAATTCACTTTGCTGATCCTCTTTTTTCAATGTCTGGTGGAAAAAATAATCTACAAAAATTGAGCTATAGGTAATTATTACACAACAGTAAACATGTTGCTGTTTACAATGCTGTTTTTCCTCATTTTAAACTTGTTTTTTTGTTGAATTCTCCATGATTTGCTTTTGAATTGTGCATTTGCATTCAGGACTTGATAAAAAGGAGGTTCCTTACTCTTGAGAGGGTCAATAGTGCCTTTTAGAATTTCCCTAAAGGGCATAATTTCCCTAAAAATTAGACAAAATACCAGCTACAAAGTGCAAATCTGGGGAGGACTTAAAGGAAACATTAAACCTGGTCGTTGCAAACAAAGTTTAAGTTACTGACTTATGCAAGTACTGAGTTTAACTTTTGTTATTGACTAAATACTTATTTTGCACCATAATACAGTACATTTTTAAATATCTTATAACGTAATTTCCTGGATTGTTTTTATTCTTATTTGGCCTCTCAGATTTGACCTCCCTCTTCTCTCTAAGAATGAGAACTGGTATTGAAATGTACCGGTTGTGTGTTTGAAAATCAAGATTTTTAACTCATTCTTCTTATTTTATCTTATATTTACTTTTCTTAATCACCACAGGATTCAGATGCAATGGCCGACATCA